ACGGCGAACTTGGCTGCTTTCGAAGTTATTTTTGTTTGGCTTTACGAGCTGTAGGCGCGTGCGTTCGGGTTTGGGTGCTATTAATTAATTGTCATGTGCTTATTACACAATCTAGTTGTTGGTGGGCGGTGAGCTGCTATCGTCAAGATGCTGGAACGGACTGGCTTACGCAATTTATTCAGCCGCCAAGTTTGCACAGGTGCCCTCCCACCGCTGACGTCACTGATAGTGGCTGCAAATAAAAAATAAGAAAAAAAATAAGAAAAAAGAAAATGCAGTCAGCGACTAAGTACACAAGACGGCTTAGATGTTTTCGCGACTCGCTGCGCAATTGGTTAACTTGGACTTGGCCAACAAGCCTAAAGTCAGTGCCAAGCAATGAAAATTGCAACGTGTTTTGGCATTAGACGTGAAAGTGGCTAAGTGAGTGGGTGGGTGAGTTTCGCAGGGGGAATGGGAATGGGCTTCGAAAAGGAGAGGGTAAAACGGCCCACACCAAACGTCAGTTGGTTGGCTTTTATGGCACGTAATTTGCAATTGGCAAAACCAAGTCCAAGACATTCAGTGCGGCTGCCTCGTTTGCCGCTGGCTAACTTTTCACTTTTCATTCTGCGCTTTTCCACCTCTTGCCATTTTCCTTTCGGCCATCCGACGTACGTGCCTCGAGGTGCATATTTTGGCCCGTTGGCCTATTAAGTCCTGGGTTCTTGTTGGCCATCGGCCAAAGTCTGCGTCGAGTACTGGGAAAAACCGAAACCCCCATTCGCACAACTGCTTAATGTTGCTTTTTAAAGACAGGCGACCCATTTTGCCTGCATATTGCGCATACGCCCCGTGATGAATCAAACACCATCCACTTATGACTAATGCCAGATTAAGCCGAACTGTAAGATCTGACACGTGAATCGTCTGAAAACTATGCGACAAACAAGTTACAAATATTTTAAATATTTTTCATACCTCCTTTTTTGTTGGTTTTTGGCAAAAAAAAACTGGAGGCAAGAAAAAATATTTGCAAATTAGGAGAAACTCTCATATTTTTGAAGGCGCCAAGAGAGATGAAACCGAAACTGAATATATAACAAAAGACACTTGTCTGGGTGAAATTTTCACTGGATATTCAAATGAACCAACAACAAATGTGGCTGCTGGCTAAACAAACAAACAACAACCAACACACAAAAACGGAAACCGTTAAAGCCAAAAAGACAACAACATCAAACGTTAGTTTTGTGAACGCTTTCAAATAGTACACTGAACATAATTGGAAGGGATTTACCGTATATTTTTAAATGTAAAAGAAATGATACAACATTAAAGGAATAAGAAAACTGTATAAATATTATTTGACAAATATTTTTAACTAAAATCAAAAATAGCAAGAATTGTTCACATAAACCAAAAAGGAACCTCAGATAAATCATATTTATATTTTGTTTTATTAACATAGATGAGTTCTTTATCCTTGGATAATCAAACCCTGATTTTCCCTCAGTGTACGGATCTGTTGTCGTTGATGTTGCTGCTGTTGGTGAGGCGTGCTCCGTTGTTTACCCCACTTGAAAGCGACTGAAGATCAATGGATTGTATGACCAAGACCAAGACCAAAGTTGCTGGTGTTGGCCTACCACTTTCGTTGTTACTGTTGTGGATTTTTTGTGTGTTTTTTTCCGAGCCACCGCTAGAGCTTTGAGCGATTTTTCATTGGAATAGAAAGTGAATTGAATTTGTTTTCGCTGGCGGACTGCGCGTTTCATTGCTCTTCACGTTGTCGTCTTCATTGGGGTGCCGTTGTTTACACTGAAAACAACACAGACACAAACCGAAAGCAGATGCTTGCAGAGACAATCTTCTGGAAATTGGACCATGTCATTGACCTTTCCGCTTTTGGCTGTCCCAAAAGCAGTGAGAGTGTTGTTTGTTGTTTATCTTTCGGTTTCAGTTGTTGGCTAGCCCCGGGAAGAACGGCAGTGAAAGAGAAGCTTTTATGGACTTTACTCGAATGCAATTATTGGGGGAAGTCTGTGAAGTTTCCAGATGGTGACTGGAAAATTCGGGAAAATATATACAGCTATAGCTTAAACCTAACAAAATAATCATGGTTGCAATTAAATAATAAAAAACTAATTTCAAAGGTTTTTTTATTCGATTTTGTCAAATGTATTTAATTGGTATTTTTATAATTTTTTATTTTGTAAAATTAATCATTGATTTCATCATGCTACTTACTTTAGCTTTCCATCAGCAATCATTAAATGAAATGCCAATAATAATAAACGTCCAGTAAAAACTACCAAGTTAGGGTTATTTTTTTAGTAATGCAAGTTCTCTGTCAAACTATTCAATCAATCAATGCAACTAAATATGTGCTGAAATGTTTAAAATTTGATTTCTCATAAAAATAAACTAATTAAATGACTAAAGGAATAATCGAACAATTTCTTGGTATCTAAATTAAATCGAAATTAACCCAGATGCTTAGCCAAACTGCTCGCGACATCCAGTGAGTTGTTTTTCTGTCCCAGATTGATCCGAGATCCACTGTCGCTTTCTATTTGTGGTGTCTTCTAGCGTTTTCCAACGCGGAACCACCGAGCCACGGGCTGCAGTCTGCTGACTCGATTTCTTTTACCGAAAATGTGTAAATTGAACGCAGAGCGGCGGCATCGAGCCAATGGGTTTATTCACCTTTCGCCTAATTATCAAAATACATAAGCGGAGTGTACCAGAAAGCGATATACATATGTATGTATGTATATGTTGGCCCGAGAGGCGTGCAAAAGGCAAAAGCGTCGACCAAGTCAAAACCAAACCGATTCAGTCCAATCCAATCCGATGACGAAGACGGGAACGGGGACTCGACTCAACTTCAATGAAATCAATTTTACGATAATAATTTCTTGAACAACCTGGGGAAAGAGGCCTGTGAAGCCCTGCCGATTCATATATAAACATTGATTCAGACCCGGCCAGCAGCTCATGTACCGTTGGAAATTTCTTGCCTTTTCTTTTTATTTTTTTTTCTTTTCTCAGCCAGCGTTGTGTATAAATTTTGTTTTGTATGTGTATTTTGTTGCTTTTTTTCGTTGTTATTGTCTTTCACAAATGTAGGTCAAGTTATACGTTCCGTTGCTGTGTGTGAGTGTGAGTATCTGTGTGTGTGGGGCTCGTGGGACGGAGTTGCGTGCCTGGAGAAAGAGGGGAGGGGGAGGGCAGAGGGAAAGGGGAGGGTGGATCCGGGGGCGGTGCGATCGGGGCTGTCATCCCGTCGCACTCTGAATGACTGACTAAAAGTCGGCCGAAGAGTCGAAGGCACTGACAGTATTTTCTAGTAGCTCCATCCCCGGCCAACTTTCACTTAGAAAGTTCTGCTTGCGGTTATGCGGAATCGGTTTTTTTTTTGGCTTTTCGATTTTATTTGTATACCCTTGCCGAGGGTCCGATCGTTCATTCCCAGAATTCACACTTCCCCACGAAAGAAAGTAGGGAGAACGACAAGAATATCATCTTCCCCCAATTTCTTTTCCAAGAAATAAATAAGTTTATAAATATCAATAAGGCAGAGGTCTTCTCGAACTTTGTGAGTGGTTAAATAGATTTGATTTAAAATCTTCTGGAAAGCACTTATTTCTATAAGTACGTAAACAATAATCGTTTTTGTATAATAATTTTGCAATATGTCATAAATGGCTGTTACTCATGAATGTAATTTTATTAGTCATAGATCAGGAATTTACTGAGTGTCATAATTAATTTAATTATTATAAACCCTAGTTTAGTTTTAATAGCTAAAAATAAAAATTGTGACCGGTATTGCTATAAATAAAGAGTATCCTTAAAGGGCAGTTTTCTGATTAATAGGAAAAGTCTTTTAGCCAAGGAACCGTTGATATTGAAGGGTATTCACAGCTTCGCATAACAATACTTTTGCCTCTGTCTTGGCTCTGATGTTTTTTCGGAGCCTTATGAGTTGGCTCACAGACTGTGGCTGAAAGCGATATGAATGAATATCACCGGTGGCCGACAGCAAGTTAACTGGGTCAACGCGTGTGTGGGGGCCTGGGAAGATCTGATTGCAGTCGGATCTGAGTGATCTGAGTGGATCAAATCAAATTGAATCGAGTCGAATGGAATCGCATGAAAACTGACTGATGATCGCTTAATTGCATTTTCAATGCGATTCGTTGAGTGTCTGGGAAAGCTTTCCGTTAGGCGACGTCATCAGCGCCGGCGGCGCAGCAACCTTGGCGATCAGCTGTTCGCTCCGAGTGGATTTCCCTGAACTTCATACTGAAAAGCTAATGTGCGCGTGTCTATTAATAGACTCTCTTGCTCGCAGTTTTCCGCTCTCCGCGGGCGAAGCTCTCCGCGGACTTCCTGCTGGGAAAACCTGCTGGCGGAGAGCGTGAAAAGCTTGGGGCGCTCTCTTAGCTGGAGCCACGCTCTCTCCCTCTCTCTCTCTCTCTCTCAGAATCACAAGTTCTCGGCTGTTTGTGTTGTTGTTTTTGCTGCAGTTGCTGTTGTTGTTGGTACTGTTCGTGTGCTATTATTGACCTAATCACTTGTGGAGCACAAACGAACATTGAACTTTTACTTCCGCATCAGCGTTGCCTGCGAGAGATTTGCTCTTTCGGTCGCCTGGAAAATATTTTTGCATTAGGGAAAATCCGATTTCCCCCCCTCGTTTTTCCATTTTTATTGATCATTTCCAGGCCGCCTGGCCGATGGCGACCGCCCAGTGACATTAATTAATGCCCACAGATTCATCAAATATGCGCCGGTCGTTTGGAAAATCATATTTTATGCTCCCCCGGCAGCAATTTGTCCGCGGCGAAGCCCCCCAGAGATTTGTGATTGTGTGTGTTGCTGTGTGAGTGTGTGTATCTGGAAAATCTGGTAATTTAATGCGACAATTTTGAGCTGGTCGCTGGTCCATCTATAAGAAAGATATCGGGGGGAGAAGCAAGGATCCCATGGAGAAGAAAAATACACTGGTGATCTTCAGTTTTAAATATGGTTTTCTTTTAATATTATATTTTATGGGTGTGAGAGGTGTGTGTTTGGGTTGCCTGGATGTTGGTCGAAGGTGTAGACATATAAATAGCTTAATACGCTTAAGATCTAAACAAAAATTTCTCGCTCCGAATGATTCTCGTGACTCTCAACGAGAGAGAAAAAACATTACAAATCGTTGGCAATAAATAAAATTATAATTTAAACAAATGATGATTTGCTCGAGAAATATGACACTAAACGTAATACTCTTTGCGTAATCTTTTCCAGCTTGAAGAAGCAATTACAAGTGTATATATAACATATATGGTTTGTGTGTGTGTTTGTTTTGTGTGTGATACGATATAGGATATAGGATATGTGTGCGCGTTTCCGTGTTTTGTGAACAGCAATGAACAATATTTCGTTTAAATAGTATGATAATAATAAATAATTAATATAGTAGGTATGGTAGGCTAGGCAAAAACTACATAAATACAAAAGTTCGCGTCGCAGGCCTCTGGGGATCCCCCAGCTTTCTCCTCCTCCGGCAGCTGGAAGTCTCCTCGCGGCCACGAACGCGCAACCAGCGCGCTCCCCCAATCATGCCCAGAATTTGTGGATAAGGCACGGCTTTTTGGGGCTCTGTCGTTGGGGGGGGACGTACTAGTACTGCCCGGTTGGATCCAGGCAGTCCTGCCGCCTCTTTTGGCGCGAGTCCTGCGAGTCGCGGGGTCGCCGATAGGTTCCTGTGGGATCCAGCATTTTGTTGGCTTCTTTTGTAGTTTACTTTTGAAATGAGGATGGTATTTGCAGTATTTAGCCTGCTTGCTTGGCTAAATGAGGATCTGTTTGAGTTGGAGCCTTAGTAGGTGCCAGTGGGGTCCAAATCGAGAGACATTTTGAGACTGTTTTTGATGACTTTCAGATGAATATTCAAAATATATGGTTGTTCTTTTTGGCTGCTCCTTCTTCAGTATTGACCAGTGGGATCCAGATAGGCGGCCATGGTTAAGATCTTTGATTTATTTAGGGTTTTGTGAGATTTTTAAGGGCTTTCTTTCTTCGTCTCCGAAATCTTCTTTAGTACTGGCCAGTGGGGTCCAAGTAGGCTGCCATTTCGAATGCCGTGTATTGACCAAAAATACTTAAATGACAAAACCGAGTTGGCTTTTTGTTGCTGCTGCTGCTGCTGCTGTCGATTCTCCTTTGTTTAATTTGAATCAACGCGATATTGAACTTTATACTGGTTCTCGTCGCTGTTGTTGTAAGTTCTTTTATTATCACCACCAGTTGTTGGGTTTCTTGGCTGATTATACAGTCACGTTTGTGTGTGTTTGGGGTTTTATTTCGTGTGTTCAAGAGTCACTGACACTTAAAACCCATTAAGTAGAGTTATTGTTTATTAATAAACTGCCGATTTGTTTAGTTTTTAGGGAACCGCACCGAAAATCTTTAAGGCGTTACGTGAAAATCAACGGACTTTTCGAGTTTGGTTTTGGGTTTTCTGATGTTTCAGATGTTTGGGCTGCTGATCTGCACTCTTCGAATGTTGTCGATCTTTTGATTTGATTTTCGTCAAGTCGTAAGCTTAAATGCTCGGCCGGTTCGACGTCGCTGCCGGCGTCGCTGTCGAGAGCCGCGAGAGCGGGAGCGAGTGCAAAAGAGAGCGATATACGGCAGGTGCGTTGCTCTTAATGGTGGGGTCTCTCTTACTTGAGTAAGCGAGAGCGAGTGGGGAGATCGTATTTTCATTCATGTGCATGTTTTCATACCTGTGGCCAGGTAGTGCTCTCCCTCTCCAGATCTCTCTTTCTCTCTCCCGCTCTGCTCACACCCACCTGGGTTTCATTCACGAAACAGCTGTTTCTGATCGAGTGCCCTCGTTATGCTCACATGTCCAGGTGTGTCTGTGTGTGTGAGGTGTCTGTGTGAAAGGTCTGTGAGTGTGTGTGCCGGAGGAACTCAGGTAGGAACTGTCCTGACATTCCATTGGTCCTCCGATTCCCGAATCTGCAATCCTGAGGCTGCAGGCTCCACCTTCTTTTCGGGTCCGCTGCTAATTGAGATCCCTCTCCCGGCCAAATTAGTTTAGTCCGGGCCAAGTACACGCGAAAAAATTGGTACAGGAATTATGAGTGTTGCTGTGTTTTTGAGGTACTGGCAAAATATTTGTCAAAGTAAGAAATGCTAAGGCCCCATTTAGTTTTAAATTATTATTTCGTATCTAATTGTTTACTCAAAACGTTCAGTCAAAATCTTGAAGATCTTTATTTTAAATAAATATATTATTATTAAGTTAAATATTAATACAATAAGTTGCTATACAATTATTTTAAACTCTACAGATCTACCATAGTGAACGATTATGTTGTTCACAGTAAATTGATTTCATTTGACTGAAACTCGTGTCATTTTTCTACGATTAAAACCAAACAGCTATAACTTTTTAAGGTTCAGTATGATCTTTTAAAGATTATCCTCTTTGTCTGCTAATCTTCTTTGGCAAAATGTCAATGGATCACCTAAAATGTTCTTTAAATATTTGCCTGGAAAGATAATGGCCACACTGCAACTTGTTTTCCAAGTGCAAACGGGCCAATGTAGATGTTCAACCAGGATTGTAGCTGTCGCCGCTTGGCCAAACAGAGACGCTGAGAATCCTTGCCAAAATGCTAATATCCTTATGTGGCATAAGTCCCAAATTAATGGTCTTTGAGCCGGCGGCGCGACGGCCACTGCCCACTTTACGTGACATTTGTGGTAGCCTAAGCCGGGCCAACTCAAAGGGCTTAGGCCGCAACTGCCGACTCATAAAAAGGATAAACGCTCGGCATGAGTCAGCAGGCCGACCCACCGACGGGTGCTTCCGCGAAATGCGACACCGGAGGCAGGTCCGCTCACAAAAGGCCACCGAGATGCTACAAAAAAGCAAGATACTGCACCGAAGTGTCGCAGAATTCCTCGATATTTCTCATATTTTTAACCCAAAAATTGCTCCTCTGTCCAAGTCAGCTGGTGATTCGAACAGAAGGCGACAAAAACAACGACAACGACGAAGACGAGGAGCAGATTACAAGATGTGTCATCTGCCGCACAATAGGAAATATAAATCCTTTCGTTTTATTACAACGACGTAAAAAACTCAAAAATTAAGGAGAGGCAGCCGGGAGTGCCAGTGGAACTTCCGGCAGGATGAAAACACATTCGATTGAAGGACGGCTGCTCGGCACGAGCAACCCTTTGGCACGGGTTCCGGATTGGGACTCACCTTGAGATCGGGAAGAGGATGATCGCTCCCCTGTAAGATGATCGTCAAAGAGTTTGGCACGGGCTAAAAGAAATGAGGGGGATGTAATTCCATTTAATTGAGATGGAGGCAGTTTGATCATAACAAATGCGAAAGATCATAAATCACTGTGTTTTCTGATATTACCTTAAATTACAAAGAAAACTGTTTAATGTAAGTTTTGGGATTTATTTAGTTATTTTTAACTGATCCTCTAGTTAGTTAATATAAACCAATTTGCAATAGATCAGATTAGAGAAAACAGTATATGTATTTTTAGTGGGTTTTCGGTTTCATTCAGATTTTTATTACAAATTCATTGGTGTATGACAATCTATATTTAGATCAGTACTTACCGAGATAGATACTAAAAATTCAGTTTGTTTTAATGATTTTATTGCAATTTTTTTCGAAATTCGAAAAATGGCATTTTTTCAATGGAATTATAATATCCTCCGCAAGGGTATAGTAAAGGAACTGAGGGCTCAGAGAAAACCCCAAAAAGTCCATTAACCTTATGTTTGCCGGGTCACTTCATCTGGAGACGCCCGTTAGTCTGTTTGACTTACCTGGCGTGGGAGCCCCAACCGAAATTTACCTTTCTGAGTGCTGCCCCGGATGCACATCATCCTCGGTGCATTTTGGCGCTTCCGCTTCTGGGTTTTCACTTTCCAAACAGTTTTTGCTTTTTTATTAACGAATTCGTTATGCATCGTTTGGGTTTTCGTTTTCCTTTCCGTTTTGCACCTTTTGTTTCCCGAAAACGCGCCACGTGCCACATCCAACATTTGTTGGCACAACTGTCAGTCGGTGAGTTTTCCCCCTCGTTCGTTCACTTTCCCTGCCGCCTTTCCCTTGTAATTCGATCAATCCAATATTTTTTGTAAATTTTTTTAGGGGGCCCAGGACGGCTGCTGCTGCGGTTTTGGCCTCACACACACTTATGCAATGTTTGCCGAGGGCCCAGCAACCCAGCAACTTCAAGAAAAACCTCCAAACGGTCTTGGAGATTTTTTCAAAATTTGGGTCAATGTTCGGTTTGTGCACATTTAACAGTATTTTCCGCTGACTTTTCTCGCTCTTGGACTTGGCCATGCAGTGTTGCAGTTTTTATTTTTCACATTTTCTGTTTGTTTGCTTTTCATAAACTCCCATTGCATTGGCAGAAACTTGTTATTGTTGCCTGCTGGCGGCGTCGTTTGTGGCTGCCGCGTTGACAATTTAAACACTCGTGCTTTTGGGCTTGGACCTGCTCTTGGTAACTGATAAATGGCAATCCGCCTAAGTGGCTCCAATTGCTTGACATTTCTAATTAACCGTGAGACAAACTGGTCGAAATGTAACTGTTAACTCTGGTTGAGTTGACCCAAATTGGCAAATAGATTAGAATCGCTAGTTGTTTCCTGGAGAGTTCTTCGGATTTCTGAGAAAGAGTTATCGCCTTGAAAGCCTTTCTTTATTAGGTAAAAATTTGAGTAATGGGAAACTAATTTAATTTATTTAAAAAGCCAATATCTTGGGATGATTCATTTTGATAATTATACTATATCACATTCAATTCAAAGTACCGAATAGACATACGAGTATAAAACACTTGCATCTATCCCACTCCTTCAACTTCTCTTTTTAAAATCTGGATCGGAGCAACGACTGTCTTTACTTGTTGTGATCCACGTGCCCACTGGCTCCAGTATAAATTAAATTGTGAACTTTTACTCCAGATTCGGTCAACGAATCGAATCAAGTAAACGTGACTGTGATGGAACTTTTCCTTGATTTCAAAACACCTAACTCAACCACACAGCCACCGAATCGCTTTTAATGACTGACGAATCGAATATGCTAAACACTCCGAATCGGGGAATCGAATATGCTAAACGGATCTATCGATCGGTTCATAAGAGACGCACTCACGCACTGACGTCCAAATGCAAATCCCTGAAATCTTTCGTGTGTTTTTCTTTCGGCCAACGGTAGTTGCCAAAACTCAATGGAAGAACGCTCGCAGGATATTAGGTAAGTGGTCCGTCGTTCTCCAGGTCGTTCTCCGTTAATGGCACCAATATGGGTGGATGGGTGGTGCATAAGAATCTGCATATGGATGCTGCGATGTGGATGTGAATGTGGCCCATTCGGACCGTCGATCATTACGCAGCGGTCAAACGGTCATTGGCCTGCTTGCGCATCAGCCGCGTATCTTGCAGATACTCTTCGACTGATCGACTGCTCAACTGCTCGACTGCTCGATACCTCGATACCCGATGTGGCCACTGGCCACCTCTGAATGCTGCTCGCTGGCACGTAAGCTGTCTTGGCATCTTTCACCATGTGTTGGCGCAGCTTACGCAAAATTATTTATGAAAACAGAGCCCGGCGTCGAGAAAAACAAGCGGGTAGAAAGGTAGCCAACGAAGTTGGAAGTACCCTAGATGATTTGTCAAAAAAAAAATAAGTTTTAAACGTTTTCTTTTTGAAATTGTTTTGTTGAAATGATTTATTTAAAAAAACAAACATTAAATATTTTTAATTATAACATTTTATAATTAAAGTTTTTATTTTGAGACTAACACCTTTCATAATTTCTTAAAAATTAGAAGCCAACACTTTAAGTATGTGTTTAAGTGAATTTTAGTGGCCCATTGTTAAGTTCAACTACATGTTAATCTGAATAAAATCTTTTTTTAGGGTAGAAGAAATGTTAAAAACCTTTTTAACAGAATCTCTGTCACTTGTCATCTTACGCTGAGCAAGGAAAATCTAATCCAAATTTTATTGCCCTCTTGCAAGACTGCGAAATCAAGAACTGCCTTTGATTCCGGAGCTATCAATCAACAAACGGCAGTGGTGCCTCGCTATGGAAATTTCCGGACGGAGTTCTATGGAAATTCCGCATCGATTTGCATGCGAGTATGTGACAATCGTCGGTGGACGACGGACTCCGATTGTAATTGCAATTATCGTGCAGTTTGTGTGGATAAACGAGTGTTCGAGTTGGCATTTGAGTTCGAGTATCTTGTATCTTGTGCCTTGTATTTTGTATCTGGCAAATGGAGAGTGCGTGCGCGTATCTTTTGCATTGCAACTATGAACCTTGTTCGCGCTCTTATTACGGCTCTGTTATTGATTTCATAATTTATCAGTTGCGCCTGTCAATGGCCATTAGATCAATGCATCGAGCTGCCTGCATAACAAAGGCGCCGCCTTCTGAATACCGATTACGAAATCGGGGGGTGTTGGCCTTCCCAAGGGGGGGGTGGCAAGTACAGAGGGGTGGAGAGGGGGC